GAGAGAGAGAGAGAGAGAGAGAGAGAGAGAGAGAGGGAACAATTGTCTGTAAAACTGTATGTTCCACCTTACGCAAAACCTTACAAGCTATTAACTGGTACCAATTTGCTTGAAATCCCTAATTACCCAACAAGATTAAGCACGGCTAGAGTTGGGTAAATTTCTTTGGTACTTCACTCACTTTATAATAACAAAAATGCAATTTTAGTTGGGGAAAAAAAAAAAAACATAAGTCCAAACTCCTCTCTCTACTGCAGTGCTTCCAGCAGGGTCCTGTTTTGGGGGTAATAAATATACACAGTATTGCATTGGTGCGCAGACACTCACCTATACCGGATACCGCATTTTAGGCAGTATTAAAGGAATTTCCAATAATGGTATTGGAATCAGAACAAAAACAAAAAAAATGGATAAAAAAGATTTTAAGGCGTTTTATGGCCTTAAATTTTGAAATTCAAGACCTATAAAGACTTTACGGATCCGTGGATATGCTGATAAGCTTCATGCTTGATGCCTGGAATGTACAATGAGGCAGAAAATTGATTCACCAAAAAAAAAAAAAAAACAATGAACAAAGTGGAATCAGGCCAGTGTAGATTCTTGTTGGCCCATCATGCATTAATGGATTAAAAAAAAACACAGCATGTGAATGATCCAAGTGAAAAAAAATTGTGGGGTACTGTGCAATGAAATTCAAGGAGCTAAAAAGTCTCTGTCAATATGACTTATCCTTTTCACAATGTGCACCAAAATAAATCTTACCCCCTTTTTTAAGCTAATTATTTTTGCAAACCTGGTTGCAAACACTGGTCCTTGTTACTGGCTTTAACCAGGCAGTGTGGGTGTAAATTCTCCATGAGAAAATAAAACAACACAAGAAATTACCATTTGCATGCAATTAGTTGCCTAACTGTATCCTGAATGTATACAAGAGAACCAATAAATCATATGAATGTGCATATGGTTGCATTTTGGGTGCTACCTCTGTGTAAATGGATTACAGTAGCTTTACAAAAACAGGAATAAGAGCAACGTTGTTTTTAATTTAGACAGAAACGAGGGAAAGGCCGGAGCAGATACTGAATGATGGTGAGAACACAAACAGAGACATTCACATCACTACAGTATCTTAGCAACAGATGTATGTCTATTTGGTGCCAAATATAAGAAAGTGGTGATGCCAGGGATGGAGACTGACAGAATGGCAACTATTAAGCCAGCTCCCGAGGGAGTGGAGGTCCCACAGAGTCACGTCTAAAGCAGGAAGCAGCTATATGACTTCTTGTATGAATCTTAAATTGCCTCTAATGGCCTACTGGGCAACAATACAGTCAAATTCTTTTCTCTATCAGACAGGAGAATTACACTCACACAGACAGTTGGAGGTGGATGTCAGACTATTTTTTCCTTTTTATAGAATCTCTTTGTTAATTCTCACACAGTATACAGTGTGCTTGTATTTCTACTGTGAGACCATTCAAGGTAGGCTCTCACTAGAGTCAGATCAGATCATCTTTGACATTTGATGAATGTTCTGATGTTAAAGTGTTTTATTTGGCAATGTTGTAGTGAAGATAAATGTATTTGGAAGTCTACTTAACACGCAAATGGGTATCAGTGACTAAGATTAGGCTGCATGCGTGCTTTGACATTGTCACGTCTGGTTCTTATGACAATTTAATTTTTTTTGCTGTTGTTAAAGGGGCACTCCACCAATTTTACACATTTAGTACATCATGAGCAATCCTACTCTAACCCTGATGATGTCATAAGGGTTATCGTACAATGGGAAAGAGCAGGACTAGGGAACCTGCAGCTTTACATTACATTGTTGTAGGCCAAATCAGACAATTACATTCTCAAATTCAAAAAAAATTTTTTTTTTAACTGGTTGTGTTACATATAGGAGCAAGTCGTCGCCGAAAGAAGGAAAGAAGCTTTCTTGAGCCTCTGTCTTTCCAATTTTGACCATTCTTTTTTAAATATGTCTCTTGCAAGTCCTTCAACTTCAAGTGCAACACTTTTGTGTGCTCTACTACAATCAAATGTGTCCTTCATCCCAGGCTATAGGGAATGCGGAATAGATGAAGGAATTATATTTTTAGTTCAAGTATTCCTTTAAGAAAACTTTGTGGTTCAAAATAGATATAGTATAATTATACAAGATAGCTTGCAAGCATGCTTTTAAATCTTTAATCTTTATGTTGCTCCTTGGAATTCAGTTCTTTTATTTATACTGGGCTCCTACAGTAATGTTTGAGGTAGAGAAGAGGCAAGGCAGGAGATGAAAGTGGCAGGTTGTGAAAAAGTTGCGGTATGACCAAATTAGTGCATTTTACTGAGGTTTGAGCATTCTGATCAAGAAGTTCAAAAACAAAAACAGAACCAAAAGCTTGGTTTTCAAAAGAGAAAGACTGTTAAATGTAATGTTAACCTTATAAAGCACATTCCTTTGAGTTGAACATTCTTTACAACGAGGAGAAATGGTTGTCAGGGCATCACCTTTCTTAAAAATATAGACAGAAGAGAAAGACCGAGGAGAGTCCCGAGCAAGCAGGCTGCAATATTATTGGACTATGTCACTGCCATCTCTCTGTGGAAGGACCCCCAAAGGACTACCTGCCAATTTGAGTCCACAATGCTTTCAGAGTCAAACTTACACTTCCCTCTTGAGTGCCAGGCTGTCTAATCATGTGCCACTCCTCTGTGCCACTGCATTGACTGGAGTTGGACTTCCAGAGGTTTTCAACAACAACTAAACAACACAGAAGACAGTGCACTTCAGGCCTGACTCATTAGCAGCAACCAGAGGTGCCAGACCAGATGACAGATGGACTGACATGTCCAAAAGAGGGAAGCGAGGAGGAAAATCATCATGCTGCTGCTTGCTGAGGCCTGCGTAGCCATGGATACTGAACCACAACCTAGACCCATCCAGAAAAAAATAAAGAGAGATTTCAGAGAGTATTATTGGTTTAGAAAAAACACCCCACACAAGGTATCTGCTTTTTTTAAGCTCTGGCTATCAGAGTGGTGAGGCTGAACATGGACTTACAGACACGAAAGGCAAGTCTGGAAGAATGGATGCAGTGGTCCAACATTAGAGAGGAGCTCAAGACTACAGGCTGGGATTTTGTTTTTGGCCAACCAAGGTCTGATGGTTCTTATTCTTCATTTACCCAGTGAAACCTGCAGTTAAAGCTGAACAGATCTTTTTTCCCAGGAGCTTGCCAAACACAGGTGTAACTAATACTATTATTAACCGCTGCACTGCAATAGTTGCTGGAACGGAGCATTACTCTTATTAATTTCATCTGGGCTTTGTCAGCTATGACAAGAACACATAAAATGTAGAATATATATATAAATGTAATATATATAGCCCATCTCTTACTCGGGAGATCACTTTCAGCACAGCAGGGGAGCAGCTTGTGTCTTTATGTGTAAAATATACACACACTAATGAGACATATTCATATAAAGATAAGATGCAATTCATGTTCTGGATAATGTCATTTCCAACTTGGCTTATTTGTTACTAGTTTATCCAATGTTAGTGCTGATTACAATAAAATCCGTTAAATAGGCTGTGAACTTTTTTCAGCTGCCAAAGTTGGGGCATGACAAAATACATTGGGGAACCACAGTTGTAACTTATGTTATGTACTTTTTGTCATTTTCTTTTTTCTTTCCTTCCTATTTTTGACCTTTGGATAGTTTGGTGCAATAAGGTGCATATAAACTGTTATGCTTGCCATATACCCGATGAAGGCTGTGCAGTTTGAAGCATGGTAAATTAAATATACCAGCAGTAAGCCAGACAGTGTGTGGGAGTTTTTTCATTCATTATTCAAATTGTGCTTACTTCTGAAGCACTGTCACATATTTAAGTGTGCACATCGGATTTCAATATTTTGAGGAGCCTATGTTATTGTACTTGATAATAATTTAACAAATAAAAGGAAAATATATTTTTTTTCCCGCTGATGACCAAACCACTTTGTATTTCACATCTCTACAGAGAGCAACTGCATCATCATACCTATCCAGATAACACTAAACAGACAGATTACTGATAAAGATCCATCCTCTATAAAGCCACCACAGGTGTTAAGCTGGCATAATTAAAATCATCACATAGTGCTGTTATAAACATGAGAACAGCGAGCCCAAACCCTCACAGAGGAGGATCCCAAACATCCCAGCCAAAGTTGTTTAAGTATGAGACTCAGAGATCACACAGTATCACACAAAGCTGCAATTACACCAAAGCAGTAACTGTAGAAATGCACATTATATGAGTGAGTGAGAGAGAGCTGTAAAAGTACCCCCTGACAGCTGTAACACCTTATTCTACTGTGGTCTGGACTAGTTTAGTAGTGGGCTACTATTTATTATGTTGATGTTTTCAACATAAACAGACTGCACAAGGTTTATTCATGAAAAACATCAACTGAATACGCAGACAAATATTATATACAAAGGATGTACAAAAGACAACAAAATAATCTGTCAGGAGAGACTGAATCTAACAGCTCGGCTCAACTCAGGCCAGTCTTTCAGCAATAAGACCCTCATCTGTTCAGAATCCTTCGACTGCCTGCTGTCTGTTTGAAATTTGTCTCCATGGCAACGGACCAGACCGTCTGGCTTCAGCATGGCCGTGCTGATTAAGTGGTGTGTTATGATAATAGGCATTGGAGAAGTAAGGCCTGAACATATACAGTACATTTGCAAAGATTCTCAATGGATCCGTCACATCCGGAAGTGTTTATGCAAGATGTAGAGGATCAACATGGAAAGAGGAGAATGCCAATAGGGATGACACAGAGAAACTAATAAAAGGACACATGTAATAGTAACTTTTTGGGCTAAAGAGAGAGAGAGGGAAAGAGCTATATGATATCCATGTACCGCACAAAAAGAGGCAGTAAAAAAAAAAGTAAAAGGTAAATGACTATACTAGATGGAAAGTTGGATTTTGCCATTAAGTGTCTCACCTTGGCACACTACTGGGCAGACTGGTCTCATTGGATGGCGTCTGGATCCTCTCCTCCACGCCCGGCGCCTGAGGACCAGGCTCTCCTCCCGCTATCCGTCCAGCTCCTGGCTGCTGCTGCTGCTGCTGCTGCCGCTGCCGCCTCTCCTCCTCTTCATCCTCCACCTCCTCATTACCTGGCTTCTCTTTTCCTCGGCCCTCACTTTCGTTATCGCTCTCCTCACCTAAGATGTCGTCCACCTATTTAAAAAAAAAAAAAAAGGAAAAGAGCATGTGAAATATAGTTTCAAGCTTTGTAGAGGACCAGGTCACAGCATATAACACACCAACACAATCAGTCAAATCTTCTTTTCTCTTTTTCTTTTCATTTTTGTTTGAAGTTTACACAATAAAATTTTCTGCATGCATAGACGTATATACACACCATAACTGCAGAAGATATCCAAGCATACGGACTCCCTCTCATGCAGATAAGATTAATTACTTTCTCTCTTTCCACTGAATACCAATTAGTTTTGTTTATTTTATTTTGTGTAAGCTCCCTAATCAGAGCTAATCTATAATGTAGCTAACTTTTGGCAAATTTTATTTGTAGGTAATTATTAAAGAGAAAATATGATGCTTTCTATTTAATAAATAGTTTCTGCTTAAAGTATCATGAAGAGGAACCATGTGTATAAGCCTGTTCCCTTGATACGCTGCAGGTTCCAATTATGCATCTAATTATATGTGGAAAGTGGTTTTCCCTCTAGAAATAATTAGGTTACATACTGTACTATAATCTTGAAAGTGATTAAACTTGAAGCTAACAGTTCAGAGTGTCATTTATGCAACTAGTGACTGACTCATATCAGCCAATATTTGTTTTACATAAACATGCAACACCTTGAAGGAGTATTTTGAAATTTTGGGAAATTGTACCACTCTCATGTCTGTACAGTAAATATGACGCTAAAGCCTGGAGAAACTGGAAACAGCACGCCTGGCTCTGTCCTACCAGCACATAAATGTTATGTTATGTTTATACTTCCATTTCTTTTTCTTTTTTACAGATTAAATAAACAATAATGGTATAATAATGACTGAAGGCTTTTCTAGATGAAAAAGATGTTTTCGTTCTTCTCCCGACTGGCTTTGGTAAGAGTTTGGCTAGGGTTTGTTGATCTGATTGGTTCAAGTTCACCATTGATAAACAGATGGTTCATTTAATCACCTGCCAAGTATGTTTTGAAAGTGCCTGCCCTTTTCCAAACAGTTTCCAACGACAGCTTCCCAGAGTGTTCTGTGTAACAAACCATCAAACCAGTCAGGCTACTTGTAGGCGGATTTTGTAACATCTGAACAGAGCCTGCTAGCTGCACTTTCATATTTACCATACAGACAACAACTCCTGGCAAGATAGCGTATTTGATAAAATGTATTCTGCCTTTGCTTTGATTATTAAATATTTGTCACTGTACGTAGGGCAGAATATACAGGATTTTGGAGGCTGATACTATTCTAATGTTAGGCAGATATTTTTTCTTTTATGTGAAAATGTAACACATTTTTGATTCTGAATTTTACTTTTTCAGAATTGTGACTAAGATGTGTTCTACAGTTGAAAAATAAATTGTCGGTGCTCTCTGGTGAACAAATCTGGTGGCATATTTTGAGCATACAGTCTAAACTACAAACGCTATTAAGAGTCGCAAAATGAGTCTTGAAGGGCTATAGTAATAGATAAGACATTGAACAGAGGTTGATTGATTTTGTCCACCCCCACAGATGGAATACTGTTGGAAGTAGGGTAATAAACTCATCAGATCAAATGTCTACCATGAGGAAACATCCCAGAGCCAGAACGAATCTGTCGAGTGGGATATCTTGCCAGCTATCCAAAGCAAAAACAAAAAATTCTACTCCACCAGCTCCTCAATCTTGTATTCCTTAAGCAGCTCATAATTTATATTGCCCCAAGGTTGACAATTTAGAGCAGGTTAGCCTATTGACAACCATTAAATCAATGAATATCGGAGATGAATCTTGCCACAGCAAATGACTCGTTAGTCGGGGGAAAACTGGGATTAATGCAGGGGGAAACTCTCTTGGGGCTACAGCCAGGATCATTAAGACTGTTGTTGGTTATTTCGACAGCCAATGAGCGCTTTAGAAAAGGAGAAGGTAAGAGCGCCTGAGGTAAGGCTGATCTGGAAAAAACAAAAACTCTGAACATGTTAGGTCAGTGTTGGTTGCCCTCCAGTTCCATTTGCTGCAGCAGATTTAAATGAGAATGAACCTGCAGGGAACCAACAAATTACAGGGTAGGATACAAAAGACGGGGCTTTTGTTTGTTCCCTAACTGTCAGCAACACACGATTTCAGATTTTATCTCAACAAAAATTGCTTCTTTCTCACTAAAATGTTTCTCCTCTCATGGCATTTTCCCCATCACTATCTCCCGCTGAGCGCTAACTGTGACAATTTATTGGGCCTTGCTTTGTGATGGCTGCTTAAGATTTAAAAGGAGGTTTATTTTTCTCTCAGAAGAGTGCAGATATGAACGGAGCTGGATATCGACAAATATAAGAGGGACATAGTTTGGCTTTTAGACAGCAGATTGGCCTACAGAAAAAGCGTACATCCAAGGCCCATATAACGATGCTCCACATAAATTTATGAAAACTGGCTTAAGAAAGACATTATTAGCAAGTTTAAATCCATCACAAAGGGACACATAAGCAGGTGCACGGTATGATAAAAAATATTTTGCTAATAAAAATAGAATTTTTGGTTCAGTGGTTCTGACTGACACTGTAATTTGATTAATCCGATAGATCCAGTATGCAACAAAAGGATGATTTAGGAACTTTAGAAATGAACAGAATTTGCATATTTATAGATTCTGGAATTTGTAATTAGGTAGAAGAAGATAATTTTAAGAAGATTAACGTGGAAATTATATTTTTTTTGTGGAATAAAAATATGAGACACGGGTTAATGTTCCAAACATTTGTATGTAAAAAGTAAAAAAACCAACATAGCGACTCAGTTAAGATTTCTGAATGTAGAAACATGAACAAAATATTTCTGGATGCAAATTTTTTAAAATCTCTTTCTGTTTTTGATACTACGCGGAAGACGGGAGGCTTAGCTTTGAATGAATGTTCCATTATAGTTTTTCTTTTACATTGATTAATACAGGATAATGCAAAAAATGGAAAAAATTAAAGGTCTGTTTTTAGAGGGTTAATACATGTCTGGAGGGGATCTACTTCTCAGAAAATAGGGATTTATGCAGAAATAGGAGAAGGAAAGGAAGTGGATTTGGTAACATTTCTGACACCAGGCAGACACACATATAAGGGGGAAACACTTTCATGTTCTGCGTGTGGATCAAAGCAGTTCTTGTCTACTACTGACAAATAACCACTGAGGCTCCGTACAGTATATGGCCAGTGTAGCCATGTCTGCTTCTGATCATGACCTTTTAAAAACCAATCTATAGTTCACTATGTCAGGAAGGGTCTTACAACCTTAGCAGAAATTGAAGCATTAACAATCCCCACAAATAGCATGGCAAACAGTATCCTTTTCCTGGCTGTAATCAAAGGCCAAGCAAAGAGCCCACCATGAAACTTTTCAAAGCCCAGCACGGCACCCCCTCAAAGCCAGTTTACAGTCAGGTCTGGTCTGATCACTGCAAGCCGAAAACAGTAGTTTAGTACAAGTCTGATTCTAGAGCGTGGAATTTGTTTTTGGCTGAACGCTTCAGTTGCTACACTATCGTCTAACAAACTGTTACCCCGTGGTCTACTGTGATGATCTGTTTGGAGGAAGATGTACAAGATGTCGAGGATGAGAGCAAACATGAAATACAGGACTTTTTTGGTGCAATCCAAAAGATGTTGATTAACATTTAAGTATATGCCTATTATGTGCAAAAAAGGTAATGTAATGGGGCTAATATAAACTGACACATACATCAATCACAATGAAGGCAGATTAGACGTTTCCTTTCCAGCAAAGCTATTAAGATTTCACTTCTAAACTCTGGACATAGAAATTTTAACTTCAGACTCAAATCCGGCCTGAGGTGGTACTCACACTGAAAGATTCATGCTCAGCAAAAGAAGCCGACGGTCATTCATTTTAAATGAAAGCTGGCAATTAGGAGGACCTGTTACTGTGGGAGCTGTGAACTGCTGTTGCCCACAGCAATGAGTTTCAGCAAGAGCAGAGGCCGACTTAAAGAAAAGTAGGAGCCATCGCATCTAGCTTCGAATAAGTTCTTGCTCTAACATCTCACTCTGTATTAAATATCTGTAACACCTTGACAGGCCTTAAAGGTCTATTGATGTTTGTAACTGGACCCACATCTATTGTCATACATGTGTCAAAAAGACATGGATTTTACTTTAAACAGAAGAGAACAGGCTAGGGTTAGGGTAGAAAGTATATGCAAGGAGCTACCTAAAGATTAAAAAATCATTTTATCAGTGAAAACTATGACAAAATGTATTTAAATTTTTGTCAACAAAAACTAAACAATGTGAAAGAAAATCAAATGAATTGATGACAATTGTTGATTGAAAAATGTAAAAGTTGATTAGCTGCTGCTAATAGATTTATTGACAATCTCACAGAAAATTAGACAAGAGACTACAACAAAACAACCTAGACAATCCATAAAAACATGCAGGCTAGCCCAGCGATATTTATAAACGGTAAGGTACGATAAGATAAGCTAAAGCAGTGTTTCACTGTCGTCGCTCACTATTCAATGCTGTTTCTCTCCCCTTTCCTGTCTATCTTCAGCTGTCCTATCCAATAGGCAAAAAGCCCCAAAATTATATAATAAAAGAGAAAAGTTGCACCTGTAACGACAGCCAAGAGTAATATCATGTACTGCCACACCCAGTTTTTCAATGTATTTAATGTAGCATTAAAGTTGATCTTTAATGCTATATTATTACATCAAATTCATGCATTCAGTTGGCAATATTTTTTGTTTCTATGCTACCATAAGGAAATAGCACAGCAATAATGAAGGCCCAGAAAGCTAAAGAGTGAGAGAATGATCACGCAGCTCTGAAGTGGAAAGAACAGTTAGCTGTTAGAATGCCAAGTGAACAAGAACAACAACAAGAGAGCGTCTCTCTTCAAACAGCCAGAGTCTGTGCAAGTTGACTGAAAATAAGTACAGTAAAATTAAACTTCAATTTTACTAGACTGCGTTTGTGGACTAAAACTAGACAAAA